GTAACCATTGTTAGAAACCCCTCCATCTACCTTTATAGCTCCGAGTTTCTTGGATCAAAGGTGGACAGAAGTTTAAAATAGTGCCTTGTTTATATCCCCTTACCCAAGTGCCTTTCCTCTCTCTCTCTCTCTCTCTTTGATGACGGCGGTGTGGTTGGTTTGGTTTGGAACTTTCTGAAGACAGAGAGCGCTGGCTTTTTTTAGATTGTAAGATTTCAGTGCAGGGTGTCTGTCTTCATCTGTGTTTATACAGTATCCAAAATAGCATGACCGTGGTCCTAACTGGGGATGTATGGGTAATGCTTTGTTTAAGAACTTGAGTGCTCATTCCTTCCTCCAAAGTATTTCTTACTCTGGGAAGTTTCTGTAGTTTCAGTGTAGAATACATTGTAGTGTCAAATACCCTTCAGTTACCTTCTGCTGTTGTTTTTATTTTTATGTTCATTATCATGCTTTACGTATCTACCTTTTTTTTTTTTTCTCTCTCTTTTTTTCTTTTTAGGGTAATATTCCAGATGTATCCTTGAAATCTATGTTAAAAAGAAGGAACAAATTTAATAATTTCCTTGATAAAATAATGCAAACTTCTGCAGAGATGTATTCAGGCTTTTTTTCCTCTGTTGGGGTGGATTGTGTTACGCTGGTGCCTAAAAACCTGAAATCAGAGTTGCGGAGCGGGGTGCTGGTGGCTACTTTCTTGCACTGAAGAAAGCTGAATGAAATACATAATTTAAAAGAAATGCTGCATGTATAGACAAGTAAACGGTTTTATTTTCAATTTTAGCTTATTATTAAATCAACATTAACTGGCAAAATATAATGTTAGAGATTTAAGCTACCAAAATTCCACAGTTCAGATGAGAGAACCTTTGGGCAAAATTAATCAGAAAAACCTAAGCTAAGCTAAATAAGATCAATTTAGGCATTTGCAAATCCAGAACTGGAAAGAACCAGATGTTTGCTTTCTACTCAGTCCCTCTGTTCTGCAAGTGTAACTGCATAAATATGGAACAGTAACAGGCTTATATGTAAGGCTGTTGCTTGATCTCAAAATGTATTTATAAAAGCATGGGACCATTATTTTCCCCATTTTGCAGAGAGGAGACAGAAGTGCAGAAATTCAGGGTTTGAGAAACAACATAATGGATCAGGGCTCCGCAGCAGGGATGCAGTAGTGTGTATCAATAGCACAGAAGACAAGAAAACTGGGAAAGAGGAAGCCCAATGTTGTTTAGGGCTCCTGTGTTCTACATAGTCATGCTACTGGAGATACGTATAAATAAGAACAACCTCCATTCATCCATCCATCCATCTTTCTTTCTATCTTTCTTTCGTTCTTTTCTTGAAGAGAACATTGCTACACCTTTTTTTATAAACATGTTCTTCAGATTTTTTTTATATACTGCATGTATTATTATTTTTTAAAAACATTTAGCTTGCTTCTGTTCACGTGGTTCCTATGAATTCTGATTTCTCCAAGACATCCCAAAGAAAAGTAGCAGGATGTCTTTTCTCTAGATTTTTTTTCTTTGTTGTCAGTACAGTGTGAGACGTTAAAATGAACACTTAGGGCAGAGGTTGTGCTCGCTCACCGCTGGGACAGAAGTATCCAAGTCTAGAAACATTTTGATTTACCCAATATTTCTAAACCATACATTGTAAGAGATTGACATTGTATTTGTTTACTGAATGGGAACGGGTGTATTCAAAATTGTTAGCACTTAGATTCAGGTTCTCAAAGAACATGGGCAGTATTTAGCAGCAGCAAATAAAGAGTTTTCTCAATACAAATGGGAAAAACTCGGTAGTTAATATTTGAAATGTTCAATATTTGAGTGAAAACTTTAACAATGAAATAATAGAATGGTTTGGGTTAGAAGAGACCTTAAAGATCATCTAGTTCCAACCCCCCTGCCATCAGCAGTTTCTGTTAGATAAGTAACTTTAAGTAGATTAAAGTCAGTTTTCAGTATTTTTATGCTGTATTCAGATACTGCTTCTGTAACGAATTATGTCCCTTTTTAACTGAGTGACATAAAACATAGTCTAGAATATTAGCTACAGCTCAAATTATATTTCAAATTTAAAAGCTCCTCCCTAAATATCTGCTGTCTTGAACGTGCAGAACATGGGTAATGAAAATGGGGACACACTACAGTTAATGTGTAATTTTTCTCCCATTAAAATCTATGCAAGTAGATTGGACTTCTAACCAAGGTTCACCATAATTGCTGAAAACATCCTTACTGACAGCTCCACAGCATATTAGTGTTCTTTTTTCCCTCTAAATCCCCCTTTAATGGTAGATCTTTTCCTTTTAAATTGTAATTTTCCTCTCTTTCAACCACTTTTTCCTTTGTTCTGAGTGAGCACGTGTCTTTTTCTCTGCAGGTCTGTTTAAGGCAAACCATCAGAGTTTTATGGAGACATTATCATAGAGTATTATGGTTTGCTGAGAGGTTAGCAACCTTTCAAGGGTGTTAGGCACAATGGTGTTATTCTTTCAGAATGGAGAGACTGCGGGTGCCAGTAGAAACTTGCTGATAATTGGGAGACGCTGCTGATTGGAGGTATCTTGTTTTCTTACACAGCAATCGTTCTTAGGTTCCAGCAAGTGAACTTGGCAAGAGCCAGGAGTTGGAGCCAGGGTAGGAAACAAATGCCTCCCTGAAGATGCCCCAGGTTCCAGTTCCAGCTCCTTGCTCTGTGCTGGCCCTGCCTGCGTGCCATTCAAAATCTGCGCATGTACTGTCTTTGGATCTGGTGCCATAAATTGCTAACCCAATCTGTAGTAGTCCATCAAAACCAGATGGCATAAGTAATTTCTAACTTTGAGGATTCATCTAATTTTCTTCTTTTTTTTTTTTCTTTTTTTTTTTTAAGGAATACTAATTAGTTACTGTTTGTTCTCTTCTTTGCCTGCTTTCCCCTCCACCCTCACACATAGCCTTTGGTTTTTCTGGTTTTCTCCTGCTGTTTCTTCATCTCTTTTCTTTGTTACCACTCGTCTTGCCTTTTCTTTTATTGGACAAGCCAACAATTACAGGATAATTCTTTCAGCCAGGAACAAGCTGCACAGTAGAAGCAGCAACCGTCACAGCAGTTGACCCAGTACATTATGCACATCTGCCTTGTAGTTTATTATTCCTGCATTGTCAGTGAGTTGTAGTCAAAGATGCGCCTTGAGTGAGTTCTCTATTAGCGACTGTGACATGATGTTTAGGAAGCTGTGGTCAGATGAAAATACTGATGATAGCGGTAAGTTTGTATCTTGAAGATTTCTGATGTAGAACATAAGGCCAAAACATTTAAAGTTATATAAATGTGTTACAGTCTGTTGTGTGTATTGTTGTTCTTGATGCATGGCCTCCTGCTTCTTCCAGGGCAATGACCATGTAGAGCATTTCATATATTGGACTGTTTTTCTTTGATTTGCTCTTTGCTTTCTGTTGTGATTGTTTTGGACTAAATACTACTAAAATTTTAGATGAGGGGATCAAGATAATACTGCCTCTATCTCTTAGGCTATGCTTAAGCCACTCCTGGAGTAAAGCTAAGATTTTATGTTCTTCTACAAAGAAATATTCCTTAATGAACTCCAGGATTTTGATACAAGTCCTTTTCACTGTATACCACTGTTCTTGCCTTTTCCCCCCTCCCCTCAAATACTTCACCTGAGATTTATGTAAGATGCACACTGTCTTGGCTTACAGAAGAGATGTTGGGCAGTCAGTCTCAGACTGGACTGATCAGTAGCCAAACTCCCCGTCTTATGATCCTCCTCCCCTGGTTGAGGTGGGGAGTGACACCTCCAAGGTGCACGGGCAGGCTGGACGCTTCCGGAGTGCCCTGGGTTTGCTGCGCGCGCTGGGCGGCCGTCCGGTGCTTTCAGAGTTGCTTGTGCCTTTCCTCAGAAACACTCGAGTTTACTCTGCACCTACAATATGTTCATTTGGTGCAGTTCCTGTGGGCAGTGCAGAAGTGGGCGAGGGGCTGCTGTAGCCCAGCCCAGGCTGTTGGTGCCACCAGGACATTTAGTATAGAATCGTAGAATGGTTTGGGTTGGAAGGGACCTTAAAGATCATCTAGTTCCAACCCCCCTGCCACCAGCAGGGACACCTTCCACTAGACCAGGTTGCTCAAAGCCTCATCCAACCTGGCCTTAAACACTTCCAGGGAGGGGGCATCCACAGCTTCCTTGGGCAACCTGTTCCAGTGTCTGACCACCCTCACAGTAAAGAATTTCTTCCTCATATCTAATCTAAACCTCCCCTCTTTCAGTTTAAACCCTTATTCCCTTGTTCTGTCACTAACTGCCCTTATGAAAAGTCCCTCCCCAGCTTTCTTGTAGGCCCCCTTCAGGTATTGGAAGGCTGCTATAAGATCTCCCCAGAGCCTTACGCTCTTTTATTGGGAGAGATGGGCCAAGAGTGCTGGGTGAAGATGGGAAAGCTGTGGGAAAGCTGTGGTAGCAGGCTGTCTGCACACTGCAGTTTGTGTGACCCGTGTTAGTTCAGAGTTATTCAGCAGGCTCACCCATTCTGACACAAGCATCGGGCTGTTCAGTATTATCAACTTCAGCAGTCAGAGAAGTGCCTTTTCCTGAAGTGTCTAATGACATCCTCAAATGAGCTGGGGAAAGATGATCCACTGGAACTATGGAAGAAGTTTCAGTAATCTTTACTGAGTCCTAATATAGTTGGTAAGAGTTGCAACGCATTTTGGTGGCAAGTTTAAATATTTTATATATATGTATGTATGTATGTATGTATGTATACACACTTTATTTCTGTTAAGTCTGGCAACATGGCTTCAACCGAGTAGCCTCCTATGTTCTAGCATACAGGATGCAGATGCCCCCCGTCCCTGCACACAGTTAACTTAAGGGAGTCAGAGTGCAGTCACTTCTGCTTCTTGTCTCGTTTAAGGGACAGATGTATACACTGGTGTTAATAGGCACTTTTCTGCTGGTATGTTTAATCTTATCGTTTTCATTTCTCAGGATGTGAATCTTCACGGTGAGCTGGTGGGAAAACTGAGTTGTAAATCACCCCAATGGATGCGGACAGTGATGTTGCATTGGACATTTTAATCACAAATGTAGTGTGTGTTTTTAGAACAAGATGTCATTTAAACTTGAGGAAGATCGCATTAGAGGGAGCAAATGTGATATACAAGCGTGATGTTGGGGTAAGAGATTCAGCATACCTCAATTATCTGTTTTTACTAATGTTCCTTAACCTAAACATTAGTTTTATTTCTGTCTTGATAGGCATTTAGTCTGTCATACACTAAATATACAGTAAGGGGAGTGGGTGAATACTGTCTCAGAAGACTGCAGCTAGTGAGGTCAATATTGGGTATAAGGTATATGATGAGACTTCTTACACCTCAAGGTCCATTTTGCCTCTCCAGATTTGATGGTTTTGACAAGAAAATATATCCTGATAAGGAGTCAGCAATGTGAGAGTCACTGTAATAAGAAAAAAATTACCACAATGATCATGGCTTTCAGCTTTTTATTCAGAAGAAAATAGTTCCTTTAATTCATTCTTGTTTTGTGAACACTAAGTCACTGGCTGAGATACTCCACACTTACTTTGCTCTTCTCAGAAGCTGAGGTTTTTTAATTAATGAAAGAGATGAACAGTTCAAGGCTATAAAAAATAAAGGAAGTATTATTAATGTAACAGTTTGTCTAACAGTTGATTATTATTTTTTCCTCCCCGGTATGAAATTGAACTACCACTAATTCACAATTCTCCCACTTCTTTTCAGAAAGTATTAATGAAGCTTAGGAAACCTAGGATTACGGCCACAATTTGGTCCTCAGGAAAAGTTATTTGCACAGGAGCCACAAGGTGGGTTCATGAAGATCCTTTCTCTAGCTGTAAAATCTCGTGTATTTTAAAATAAAATGTTGTAAATGAGGAGTACTGCACGAGGCAGTACTTGCCACTCTTAAGATGCACTCACACTGAATCACATGCAGATCCTTGCCAAGCTGTGCATTTGGGAGGAAGTTTTCTATGTGAAGTGTCTGCTTCAAACCGAGTTGAAATCGTAAGCAACGTCAGTTCAGCCTTCTGGGAGAGTAGCAGGGAAAACTACTTCATGAAGAAAATCCCAGAAATTTCATTTGAGAACTCTTTAAGAATTCTGTGTTTTTAGCCAGGACTTGAAACTTGGGAAGGGTTGACCTTTATTGAACGATATCTCTTGTTCTTTCATGGAAAGTCACTTGAATTTAATCAAGTTATACAGTGTTGAGGGACTGGAAAGAAACAAAAGCAGACTCTCAGTTCAGATACATCTGAGACTTGCTAAACTCTGAACAGCTGAATTTCTTTAAGATACGTCTGCATTTTGGAGTAAGGATAAGGTATGGCAGTAAATTTGCATACTTTCTGTGTATGATTTCTGTCTCAAAATGGAAGTTGATTGTTCAGGATGTTAACTCCAGATTTGTCTCTTAAGAGTATTTAGTATCATATGATCAAAACGCATCTCCCGCTTCAGCTGGAGCCAAATGCCAAGGTAGTCTTCAAATGGGGCATGAAGGACTCCATTTGAATGTCTAGATAGTTCAAATATAATATATAGAGTAGGATGAAATGAAGGCTGTCCATGTGATCATGTGCTATAACGTTTCATTTTGTAGTCTGAGTGGCTGTTGTGGTATGTGTGCACGCAAATACACACTCTATTTCTGTTAATGCTAGATTCTTTTCTTTCTCCTTTATAGTGAAGAAGAAGCTAAATTTGGTGCCAGACGATTAGCTCGTAGTCTCCAGAAACTAGGTTTTCAGGTAATTCTAATGAAAAAGGACTTGTATGACTTAAGCAATGCTGGTAGTCTATTTTTCAGAAAGAAACAAAACTGAGGGAGCATAACAATTTATCAGTGAGCATGTTTTCACTCAGATGCCCCTTTTGTGTCGGCATACACTTTCCAGATGTCGGTTAAAGAGAAGCTGCTTTATTTTGTGGATTTGAGTTTCATTTGGCAGCTCAGAGCAGTGCTTCTTCACTGCCTAATGAACAACAATTTTTTTTTAATAAATGAACCACCCACAGATGTTTCTTGGATAGAATTTACAATATCTTGAAAGATTTATTTGGAAGGGGTGCTGAAGAGTATAAACCTAACTCTCACTTGAACATAGTTTTCCCTCTTTTCTGATGGAATTGCAGATACACGTCCATCTTGTTAAGGGCAAGTTTGAGCCTTTTTTAATTAAAGAGGGGAAAAAAGTGTTTCTGTGCTGTCAGGTCGCACAGCAGGAAATAAGCCAAATAAAATACTTAGGACATGAAACCCTTATTTTTTTCTGAGTTTGGGTTAACATTAACAGTCAAGAACATGACTTGCATTTCATAGTAAAGGTTGAAAAACAGCAATGGGAATGACTTAAAATGACATGTTTTAGTACTCTAAAACTTCCTGGTAGTCAGTTGTGCTGTGTACCCGCAGTTTCTGTTTACAGACAGACAATTAAATAGACACAGTGGCTGTCCTTTGGCAGGGAGAGGCTACCTTTGGTTGTCATACATAAAGGCAGTGGTTACAGGCTATCCTGGTAGTGCTGCATCAGACCCAAGCACGAATTAGAAGCTCTTACTGTTCCAAATGTATACATTAGATCTGGCCTCTTAAAGTTAGAAAGGAACATTAAATCACTGAGGTGAACTGGATGCTTCCAGGGTGGACACACCAAGTTTTATAATAAAAGTGGGCAGTTTAAGTGGAATGTATTTTGAAGATTAAATTGGTAGTTGACCTTTTATAAGGATAGGTTGCTTCTACTAGTAGTCTCCTTCTAAAAAGTTTTGACTGAGGAATAGTCAGTTTTGACTGAATTTGACTTAAATTTGAAGTTTAAGCAATCTCAGAAAGTAAACAAAAGTTTCTTTAGTGATATTGACAACACTGACTTTTCAGCAGTGCATTTGTTTGTTTAGGAATTGTCCGTTGGCTATTTTGTTGTCAGCTAAAATGACTGTGGTAAAGAATAACTGAAAGCAAGTAGTTTGAGCTGGGTTTTTCAGAAAAACAGCTTGCTGTACTGGCCACTGGAGATTTGAAACAAAACAATTATCACCTTTTTTCTTATTCTTAGCTTTAATAAAATGGTGTACAGCAACAAAGCATTAAAGAAGTTTTCACATTGTGTAAGATTCTTGTTACAATTCAATTTAAACTTTTTCTCTGCTTATTTTGATGTTCTATGAGCTGTTTAATTTAGTTTATTTTCAATTTGGAGATGTTTAGTACAGCAGTATGAGTTGTTTCTGTGTCTCATTCTTAAACTGTACTATAACTATATAACACAACTCTGAAGTAGTTCAACAGTTACTGTACCATAGAAGGATAAAGTTAAGCAATTTGAGTCCATTAAGTACTGTTCAGATTCCTATTAGAAGTGCATCAATCACAAGGTTTTCATTTTGAAATCTCAATAAAATATTCTAGTTATTATTATAATTTTTTTTTTTTTGCAACTCATACATCTGCCTTGCTGTAAACTGAATTTCTAATATCTTTTTTTGTTCTCTTTTGAAAAGGTAATTTTCACAGATTTTAAAGTTGTGAATGTTTTAGCAGTGTGCAACATGCCCTTTGAGATCAGATTGCCAGAATTTACAAAGAATAACAGACCTCATGCGAGGTACGGTGGGATTTTAAAGAATTATAGTTTTTATATACTTCTTAAGCTGTTCTTTTTCAGTTCTAGATCTATCTTTTTTAACTTTTTATTTTGTTTTCTAGTTATGAACCAGAACTTCATCCTGCCGTGTGTTACAGAATAAAAACTCTCAGAGCTACCTTACAGATTTTTTCCACAGGCAGTATCACAGTCACAGGTATTTTGATGTCAAAAATAAATATTTAACTTGTTGGGAATATTTAACTTTAGGGCCAGTAGCTTTAGGAAAGGAAGACGTTTGAAACAGTCAAAAGATATGTTGAAGAGATTTTGTTTGCCGGTGCTAGCACCTAGTTTGGTTTTGAGTGAAAGGCCAGAAGAGTTGTAGAGAAAGTGTTAGTATTGGTAGGCTCAAAAATTACTTTGAATCTATACTGTCTGTTTTTTTTTATAAAAACAAAAGTGAGATAAGACTTGAGAATGCAGGTATTCATTGTTTATTTAAATATTTGAATTTTCTTCCTTTTTTTTGTCTTTATAGTGCTGTAAACTACACTACATGTGGCATTAACATCCCTTTCATAAATACATGTTTCCAAACTGGAGATCTATGGAAATGTATAGGATAGCATAGCATTTTGTCATAACTGAAGTTGACCAATACTTGCAGTTCTTCAGACTTGTGCTGTCTTCTGTTAGAGCTCAGTTGAGAGAGAACCACCACTTGAATCAAAGGCATCAGTGATTTTTCCCATGTAATCAAAGACGTGATTATCCTGGATCTTGGAGATGCTATGCCATGTTTTTTCCTCTTCCTAATTTTCATTTTCCATTCTTTGTTATGTTTGCTTGTGAGGTGTCCACCACAGGTTTCCAGATATGAGAAGTCAGGTTTTTTAGAGAATACCTGTTAAAATGGTACAGAAGCAAAAAACCACATCGCTTTAGCAGTAGTTCTGTCTTGTGGTTGTTACAGCTCAGCTGTTGGTTCAGAAGTTGGGTAGGGATTTGTATTTTCATACCTTAATTCCTTGACAAATGCCTAGGCTTTGTGGGGAACGTTTATCACAAGATAGCAGGAGAAGTGTTTTTTAAAGAAGACAAAACTCCATCAGATTTGGTAATCTGAAAATATGGAGCCAAAAAGTATTCCAAGATTGCAGTATATGTTCTGAACAGAACAAGTAGTCTAGCTGAAACTAAACTTAAAATAAATAAGAAGCTTGAGTATCACTGTGGTAACAAAAGGTTCCCAGCGTGTCTTGTCAGCTTTCTAATGAGATTTCGCCTTTCTGTAAGATTCTTGTTACTCCATATACGGGACAAAGTCACCTTCGTATTTCCAGAATTGTCTTCTCAAATACGAAGGCAAATATGGTAAACATCAAAGTTTTACTTCCTTCTGGTTTACTTGTTACAGTGAGTTTGAAATAGCTCAGACCTCTGTTGGTTTTGAAGGCTTTTGTTTTGCCCAGCCTTTCTTCTAGGGGAGAAAAACGTACACAGTCTTACGCTTCTTGTTCTAAAGGTGTTTTAAATTACTTGTCAAACATACTGTACTCCCTCTCAAGTGCATTCAGAGGAAGTTCCTTTTCACCATTCATGTTTCTGTAGTACTAGTATTTGTCATGCCACTAACTCAAATAATTTTATTTGAGATACATAATTAGAAATGTTATTAAAAACAGGAAGGTGGTTTGTTGGTTTTTTTTTAATTGTACAAGTATAAAAAGATTTAGAGTACAAATAAATAGAACTGATATGTGGTAGGAAGAAGTATTCATTTTTCTTCCTCCAAAATGAGCAGTGAGGGAGTTGTTTTGGGCTTGTTTGGGGTTTTTTTGGTTTGGTTTTTTTCTCTTATACTCTGTGGAATTGTGGTCCTGGTTTTACATCTCTTCAACCCTACAGGGAGTAGCATTTTTTTACAGGAATTATTTGCCTACTCATACTCTCGCTTTCTGAAGGCTTTCTCTAGAACTTGTATTTCTGTAATAGCAGACAAATTTAAGGAAGGTACAGTATCTGCACAGAAGGCAGGTATCTTTCACCAGGCTTGTTCTAGGTGAGTGCTTAACTCAGCTTGATAAGTTTGAAAATATAGGAAGAATCCTATTCTGTTCTATTTTCTTACTGACTGAGCATGTGAATTAAAACAGTATTTCCAGAATGACTTAAATAAGTAGTGTATAACTTAAGTTATTTATGATTTTTGGAACCATTTTGAACAGTTCTCTATGCTTGGAAAAAAACTTTTGTAGTCTAAAGTGAAGTTAAAAAAACCTTGAGTTCACAGTCATGAAAGCACATGAGAAATTGCTGTTTTCATTTATCTGAATCACCAAACTTCTATCCAGGATGAATTTCTTCTGGCATGTTACTGCTCACTTATTTGCAATCTTAATTGTTCATTGCATAAAGCAGTCTAGTACCATTAGAAAGTATCACTAGTTCATTCTTCTTTTCTTTCCCCAAATGCTCATAGATCATGTTAGATAACCTTCATATGCTTCTTCCTGAGACAATAACCATTCCTTGGCTTGCAGATTTTGTCCTGAGATCGATGGTGGAACTGTTTGTGAAATCGAGACTAGAAAGTAATAGTCTGTAATTTTCAAACATAAAATAACCTTGCTTGAAACATACTTGGGTTAAATCCAGCATTATTTAGCAGTAGTTTTTGTTGGTAGGTTTTTAAATGAATAAATAAAAGTGGCTAGGCTTTGAGTAATACAAATTCCTAGAAGATTAGCTTAAGTATTTCTTTGGCCTCTGCCACTCAGCCTCTGCCTTCTTCTCTGGGCTGATTGTTTAAACCAGTAAATAGAAAAGCACTCGGGTTGTTGTGAAATTAGATGACAATATTATTTATTTGTAGTCTAGCTATTGACCAATGTAAGAACATCTCACAGATTTCATGTGAGAGTTTTCTTGTAAGTGAAAGTGATCAGAGGTCAGAGGAACACCTTCTTAAATTGGGAGAAATGGGGGAGAAATTATTTTTGTCTATAGTATAAAGTTGCGGTAGCTAAAAGTTTAAAAGTTATTTTAAAGATACTATTGTTGTTTTAATTTCCAATTCCTTGATTTTTCTCTTCCTACTGCCTTTTTTTTTGTTAATATGTCACAGGGCCAAACGTAAAGGCTGTTGCCAGTGCTGTGGAACAGATTTACCCATTCGTGTTTGAAAGCAGGAAATAAATTTTATAATTCACCACTTGATGGTTAGGTTCCCTAACCAAGCACCTTTAAAGACTGCTGCACATTGGACTAAAAGCAAAAAGGAAAACTGGACCAACCATAGCAGAGGAATACAGACTCTTTTACTTGCTCGTGGCCACAGTATAAACTCCAGTTCTTTTGGATTTTACTCTTAACAGTGCTGTATTGTAAAAACGGAAGTTTACAAGATATGAAATTGCTGCTTTTAAAAAGACATTCTATTTATTTTTGCAGTAATTTCTGTGTATTCATAAGCAAAGCTGTCACGATGTGCACTACCTTTAAAACATTTTTTTTTTTTTTTAGTTTGAGCTTGTGTTTTATTTGTGAATAGTCTTTTACATTTTTGTATGCTGAATATTGGGCACCAAAGAAGCTGTAAAAGTTATCTTTTTCACCTGATGAATGTGCACAAATAAAAGTTTGGAAAATATTTCTCTTCATACCTGTTCTGTTATATTCCTTTCCCTTTTTCTATTACAGTTAAAATTGTATAGTTGCAAATTAATTTGAAACAATGTAAGAATAGTCTTCTGCTGATACCTTCTCTTTCTATTTGTAGTATGTGTAAAACTTCGTGCGTGGGTTAGATTGAAATCTATAGTAATTACGTATGTTTATCCAAGGGTGAAATTTGGTTTGTTCCCAGTTCTCTTAACTACATGCCAGACTTCAAGTATTTTCTTGCTGTTACATGAAGAGAAGACATTTCTAAATATAAAGGTCTACAGCAAGTGTTTTCCTATAGATGCTAAAGAAGCTGCTGTAGAAAAAACAACTGCCTTGTCCACCTGCTGCATGCAAAAGGAAAAAAGTTACTCCGTGAACTTCGGTTGTCAGGAAAGTGTTGTGCTTCGGCTCAAGAAGATGGTATGGTCACGCTAATCCAGCCCCAGCCTGTTGCTGAATGATTAACACAGACCTTTTCTACGCTCTTCTTACTGTATAATATTTTCACGACAGGAGCTGCCAACAAGCAATGAAGCTTGATTCTGGCATGTATTATTATTGGTATTAATCTTGGACTTGGAAGCCAGTAGATGTTTCTCTCAGTAAGTGCACATTTGAAGCAGAAGAGAGGTGAATGCTTAAAAGTAACTGCAATTGCTACTTTTAAAAAGATACAATAAATATGTATAAATGTATGTATGTCTTTTTTCCCTATCTCACTGAAGAGAAATGTAACCATTGTGTGCTGCAGGCAATATACAGTCTTAGTGGGTGCTAAAAATAGTAAACCAGGAGCTGTTACTGTACCAGAAGTCATAGATGTGAAAGAAAGGTAGAAGAACATCTGAAGAAGCAATGCCTAGCATAATGTATTTAAGCTTTCTGAGGGGATAGTATAGAAGTTGTGGCTGTCCGTAGTGACTTCATGCAGAAATTATGGAAAGGAAGGAATAGTATGGGAAGTGCTCAACCAAACCCCTCGGAACAAAAAGAAAGAAGCAACAATTTGCCACAAGTCCAAAGTGATGGATTCATAAAAGCCCTTTTAAGCTCAGTGTAGGTAGAAAAGGGAGGACTTACAATCATTAAATTACGCAGTTGAGTTCAACAGTCACAGAATTCATGATAAAGAGCGGGGAAAGGGCTGCTTGCTATGTGCAAGCTTTCCAGTTTGTATAGTAGGTAACGTGAACATGGACCTCAGCACTTCTGACAGTAAGGAGGATTTTGTGAAAAGTCATAGAGAGCAATGAACAAACCACCATTAAGGAACACTAGTGTATTATTATTACTACAATTTAAAAAAGAAAAAAATGGAGGGTATTTGAACAATTAACAAAATTGTCCTAAACTGATGAATGAGGATTTGTCCATTATGACCACAATAGCTGTCTCAGATTAGGTTTGTCTCTTTTTCTTTTGGGTCAAATTACAAAGCACTTGAGCACTACCAGTGGAATTCTGGAGCTTTTATGAAGCATGTGTCTCCTAAATTTATCTATGGAGAAAGAGGAACATTTTGCTTTTTTGTTAGCACTGTCACGTAGTACGAAATCTGCCTGTTAGAACAAAAATGAAAGGTAATAATAAGCTGCAATGTATTAAAATGGGAACTGTTTAATTTTAAGTGCTGCTTAGATCCATGGTAGCAGCTTGAGACCTTCATAACAATTCATAAGGGGGCTGAAAAGCAGGCTACTAAACTTGCAGGGGAATATTGGGAAAGAAAGTAATAGCAAAGAAAAGATTCCTTGAAATGTGTGCTCACCTATCCTTCTAGCTCCAAGGGAGCCTCAAACTTTGTGACAAATACGCTTTAAAACCTCTGATAATGAAGGGCATTTGGTGGTGTATGCCTGCACTTGGGGTTAGCACTGTTTCCCATCACTGCTCTAAATGAATAGGTCCCCACCTCAGTCTGGAATAAGCCCTGATGATGATGATTTCTACATGCATGCGTACACACACACATACACACCCCTTCCCCATCTTCACCAGTTAGTCTGTTTCCTTCCCCGTGCTGCCTCTACCTAGGCTCTTGCTTTCCACTCCTGCAGTCGTGATGTGGACCCTGGGCCAGACAGCATGCCGCAGCCTGCTAGCTCTGCCTCCAGAGTGAGGAGCGGTGCTTTGGATGAAATTCATCTGTCAATCAATCAGCTCTTCCTCAGTGGCCATCTTTTCTAGAGCACTGTTCATCCGTCCCTGGATTCTCCGGGCAGATCCTCTGCAAAACCCTGCACAGTGCTTGGCTGTGGCAGTAGCAGCACCATAAAGAGATTATTTCACGTTCCTTAGAGAGAAGGGTTGGTTCTATTTATACAACCTACTAAGGGTTCTTTTTTTCAGTAGAATGATAACTCTGACTCATTGCCAGCTTGGGAGTTGTCATAGCCACTAGATCTTTTCCTGCAGTTTCTAGCTCCGTTTTATCATTCTCTGACATGCAATTAGCGTTACCAGAGATATTTGCACTTAGGCTTTCAGAATTGTATCCTGCTTTTTTCAGATCATTTTCATGGGTTTGCAAAGCTCTGAATTCCAACTCAGTCTTTCCCAGTTTAGTATTGCCTGTGGATTTCTTAAGCATAAAAAACATAAGGTTCTGTAATTTAGTCCATTAATGAAGATACAGAATAATTTTAGATTTGGGACAAATTTTATGGAGTGCTTCAGAGATCTAGGGATGTAATTTGTAAGACATGTCCCTTTTTTCCCTTGTATTTTTGTCGTTGATGAGGTTGTGACTGCCAATTCTGTGTCATCAGATGTGCAGACTTGGTTATAAAAGACCAGTACAATTAGGTCTACGTTTATAGGGCTATATAAGGTTAAGTCTGTAGGACTACAATTAAGACTATAGCTATAATCATTTAAAACCCCCTTGCCTACAGCATCATCACCTTTGGGAGGTATCTGAAGCTATTAGGGTCTCTGCAGTTAAACCAGTGTTGGAACTGTGTGTTCTTCGTAAAGACAGTATTTTTACTTACTTGTTTCTGCACTAAGTAGGTGTGCATGGGGAAAGTTTAGAAGAGCTCACAATGAACCCAAAACCTGTAAGGTGAGGGGATAATTGCTATGGTATTACAGAATCACAGAATCACAGAATATTGGGGATTGGAAGGGACCTCAAAAAATCATCTAGTCCAATCCCCCTGCCTGAGTTCAATTTCTTTTTCTAAGACTCACAAAATTTATTATAGCAGAGGTTTGTTTGGGAAGCTGCACTGCTGAGAAAGATTTTGCAGAATCCCTTTTCACTAAATGTGATGTAATAGAAATTGTAAGCCAGTATGGGCTTGGATTGCATTTGAAAAGGTCTGCTATCTAGGGGCAACTATCAGAAAACAGTACCAACCACAGCAAATGGGCATGCTGTTGGAAATGCAGGTAATCCACTACCTGGTAAAGTCACAGATCGGGAAATGGATTAATTTCCTGCAATATAGTCTTACTAAAAATACATTGTATTACTTGATTTAATCTCCAGCACTTGTTAGTATAAGAATGATGTTGATAAACTAACAGCGTATTTGGAAGACTACGCAGTCACCTTAGTGTCTCTTGTTCTGAAGCTGATTTAGTAGAACGTATGATACTGATAACCGTCCTCCAGCCTAAACATGAAGCAGTTGGAGAGATTTCAGTAAACATTGATGCTAAAAAACTGAGGAAGGTACCAACATGCAAAAATACAGAAAATGGTGGGTTCAGACTCTGTTTTCTGACAAGATAATTTTACAAGTGTTCAGAACTGATAGTGGAATTTGTACCTTTTATAAAAAGAAAATATCACTGTTGATCTAAGAAAAAAGCTTTACAGTATTAGCAGGTCCAGCCTGCAGCCCTTTGCTGGCACTTGAGAAGTTCTTCTAGATCTTCTGCTTTTCTTCAACAAATACTTGCCAGGCTTCCAGGCTAGACATATACTCATCAGGCAACACATGGCACTGACGACATATCCCATTTCAGTAATAGAATGTGTTGTTTTCTCTATCAAGAAGGCATTGATATTTTTCAAAACTATTCTTTGCTTGAGCTATGATTAAAAAAATGAAATTCAGGATGTGTATCACAATGTGAGCTGATCCCAGAAGTGCAAAAATCAGGATGCTGAACTGACCATTCCAAATTAAAATAAATAAATAAATAAATAACCCCCTCAACCACCAAATCTTGTGGGGTTTGGCCATGTTCTGGTTCTTGAATTCCTCACACCTCCAAGTTAATTGTGAAAATTTAAGGTATAAAATTCAACCTTCTGTGCATGAAACATCTCCACTTAAAAACTTAAGCTGCCCCTTTACCCCCACTGCCAGAGTCAATCTCTTGACTTCACCTCCCCTTGCATTTCATGTGCCCACCTCATCCATGGCTTTTCTCCCACTGCTCCAAACCCAGCTCTCCAGCTCTCCCTGTTTCACATTGCTATGAAACTTTTCCATGACTGAGCTCTAATGCATTTTGCATCCTTCTTCTGACTATTTGTAGAAGTTGCAGGAATACTCTTAACCTTC